CCCAGGCTCTCCCGGCCCCTGGTCTTCCCGGAGGATGCCCGGCGCCGGGCACTACTTCTGAAGGGCCCCCGCTGGGAGCCGCCTCTCCGGTCCCTGGGCGCTGCGCCCGCCTCCCCTCGTCCTGGACCTCGGGGGACCCTGAGCTGAGTCCCCCCTGCCCCGCCTAACCCCAGCTTTTACGCTGGTCCTGGGAGAGGGGCCACTCGGCCACCATGCCCGATTTGGACATCCCCGGGGACCCCACCAGCCCGGCCCGTAGCCCGGCGGAGCTGGGACACGGGAGAGAAGGCGCCAAGGAACGAGCGCCCCCAGAGGCGCACCGCGGCTCCTGGCTCGGCGGGCGGGGTGGGGGTGTACTGGGGCGAGTGGTCGCCCTGCCGGCTGCTGCCTTCTTCCCCTCCCCTCCAGGACCCTTCCTTCTGGCTGCTTCCCGGGCTTCGCCCAGCCGAGACCCGCTCAGGCTTTCCCCAAGTCCCGCGCCTAAGCCCCGCCGTGCGCCCGCTCTCGCCTGGGGCCGGGGGCTTCTCAGGGCGTCCTGCGGGAAGCTGCTCGCTGCCGGGCCCCTTCAAGGCTGCCGGCCGGGGGGAATCGTCGCTGCTCTCCCCGGCTCTCCCGGTGCCTCTCGTCTCCAGAAAAGCCCGGCCTTGCCGTCCCTTGTCGCCTCTCCTCTCTGCCCCGGCGGCGCCAGGAGCTGGGGACTGCGGAGCCCCGCCAACACCTCCCGGGAGCGGCCCGGACTCGCTGCTCCGCGCGCCCTTCTTCTCCCGAGACTCCAAGCCCGCGGCGGCTGCGACGGCGCCGGCTGCGCTTCTCTGCCGGCTGCCCGGGAGACCCCTCCGCGGGCCCCGGGCGAACTTGGGCAGCGGCCGCGCGACGCTGGCGCGGCTGGGCTTCGAGCACCTGCTCCTCCGCTCGCTGGCCCCACGGCTCCGGGCGGGCGGGGCGGCGGCGGCCACGAGCGCCGTGCGCTCCTGGAGACGCGGTGCTGACGCGCCCCGGCTCCTCCTCGCTGCATTTTAATTCCTGGCCACTGTGGCCGCTGCACACCGAGCGGGAAGCCTCTCGCTGGAGTCGGCCGAGCGGGGGATGTACCGCCCAGATGTGCGGGCTTGTGGGAGAGAGATGTAGTAGAACTGTTGTGTTTATGTGGGCCATGCGGAGATGGGTGTGAGAGACTCCCGAGTGTGTGAGGGGGCCTGTGGAGAGGCAGGCCGCTATGTAACGTGGGCATTTGGGCCTGTGAGTGTGTGTGTGTGGTGTCATGCTTTGAGTGTGCGTAGGATGTGCGTTGCGAGTGTGTGAACTGGCACTTCCGTGAAACTCCTGAATGTGACCGTGGGTGGTGTACAGTGGCTACAAGACAGTGTGGTGTGTGTGGGATGGAGGTCTGTGGTGGTGTGTATGTTCCATGTGTGCATATGTGCACTTGGCGGGTGCTGTGTATGAATGGGTGTGTTGACGTGTGGCTGGGTGTCAGAGTTTCTGGATGTAGTGTGTGGTTGGTGGGTTTTGCACGTGTGGTATCTGAATGAGCATGTATGTTGAGATGCTGGGAACAGTTAGTAGGCCTCTAGCAGGTTGTTAGGCTCAGTGGGACAGCTTTCCTCTCTGCCTTTCAGGAACTACCCACGTGTGCCCTAGCTCCTTCCCTGGAAGCATCTGCTGCTCAGCCTTGGCCCCGTGTGCCAAGCACAGCTCTCCCAGGAGGTTGGGAGGGAGGAGTGTGACTTCATAGACTGGAGACTCCCTTTCCCCCCCCCCCCCCACCGCTGGGATCCTGCAGTCCACTGGTTGACTCCTTCCCTCCTGGGCCCAGGGTCTTCCATTACTCCCTAGACACTTTTGGACATTTGATGTGGCCTTTAAAACACGTCCTGACCTGACGTGTTCAGGAGGATAGATGAGGTATGTAGGGCACCGCAAGCATCATTCATTGGTGAGAGTGAGGAGGCCAAGTACTTGCTCAAGAGCACACAGCCTGTAAGCGAGGAGCTGGATTTAGTAGGTCCCCAAATGCCCAACTCTTTCTACTGTACCACAAGGCCTTGCGGTTTTTGTTCTCTGGGTCAGGCACCTCAGGGACAGGGTTGAATCTTGTTCCTGTAGTAAGATAGTCTGGGCATGCAGGATGCACAGTAGGTCTCTACCCATGTTTCCCAAATAATTGACTCACTGAGGCCTCCCTGCAACACTCAGTCAATAAAATGAGCCTCATTACTTCATGAGATAAAGGGGTTTTCCAGACATTTCCCAGAGAGTAGAGTTTGATAGGGGTAGTGTGAAGGAATCCTGAGGGTGGGAGGACACTTGAGTGGATGAAGAACCAAAGTTTGTCCTTCAGGGACAGGAGACTAGAGGAAGGAGTGATTTGAGCATGGAGAGGAATTTCAGCCACCTTGAATTAGGTGGTTCAGCAAGATCTATTGAATGAGCAGTGGGTTTCCAAGCAGAAGAGAAGCAGTCCCGGGGTGGGTTTTCCCTCCCCACTGACCTGGAGGACATCCCTGCAGAATGGTGACTCCCTGCACCTGATCTCTGGAAAAGAGGACCTCTGAGCCCTTCATCTAGCACTCACACATATACATACATCCACACGGTCACACGTGTACCAACACACACACCACACACACATTACATACAACCATACATATGCATAGTGACACACATGTATACAATACATACACACAACATACACAACACACACACATACACACACACACTCGCACCCCTGGAGACCCTCTTCATTCACCTGGGGAGAAAACCATTGCAGTTGGACATAGCTGAAATTCTGCTTTGGATTTGGTTGCTTGAAGATGTGTGTTGCTGACTTTGTGGGGAAGGTTCTGAAGCTGCCTGTTATACCAGGGCCTCTAACAAAGGCTCATTCTCCAGTGCTCCTAGCCTGGTCTCAGGGGTCCTGGGGATTCCACAGTGATCCATGGTCTGGCCAAGGTGGGGCGACCTTACAATCTCAGTGCAATTACTGAGAAGAAGCCAGGGCAAGCAAGTATCATAACTCTGGAGTGGCATGGAGCTCTATTTTATAAAAGCCTTTAAAACATTTTATGTTTCTGATTTCGTTCCTGACAGTTTCCCCTTGAAATATACACATGCTACTTTTGACTGACTGAGTGTCTTCTCTGCTGTGGGTTTTCCTGTTAATTCTCCAGATGGTAGTTCTTCCAGAGAGGGGAGGGATATCCTACTTAGGCCCCCAAGGGATCTTGGCACAGAAAACAGGAGAAAGACATAGGGACAGTTAGTGACCCCGGGCAATGACTGATGGCTCTCTTCATGGCACATGGGTACAGCATGTTCTCTACACCACCTGAAACATCCTACCCTCTTCTCTGATCAATAATTTGACAGCTGGTGAAGTTCTACTCTTTCTTCAATTCCTAGCTTACACATTGCTTCCCAGGTGATGATGTCCTTGACTCTCCCAGACAATACCTTCTTAGCCCACGCTAGAGGTGGCTTTAGGACCTGAGCACATGTCCAAGGGACGATGATGATGGGTTCTTGGTCCTACTTTCCCCATGCTTCCCATACACCTTGGATTGATATCTCTATGATAGTCCTTGTCATAGCACCTTGTCATTGTTTGTGTCCAAGACTTTCTTCTGAACTATGAGTCCCTTGAGCACAGGGACTGTACCTTATTCATATTTGTGTTCCTACCTCTTATCACAGCCTCCTGGCACATTGATGAAACACTGATGTAGGGGAAAGAACTAATATTTCTTGAACAACAGCTACATACCAGGTACTGAGCTAGGCACATAAACATATTTTATTTAATTTCTCCCTCCAACCATGCAGGGGAGGCATTTTAGCCTTTTTTCTACCATTGTTGATTCAAAGGCTTGGAGCACAGGACTTAAACCCAACTCTAACTCACTATGAAGTCTGGGATTGCCCCTTTCCATCATGCTTCTTTCAAAGGTATTATGAGAAATAATAACAATATAATAGAAGTAGGACTTCCTAAGTGCTAGGGCCTGTTCTAAGTGTTTTACATTAAGAACAAGTATCACAAATGTTCTAAGTGTTTAATCCTCAAAATAATCCTACCAGGTAAATATTATTATTTTCTCTGCTACAAAGAAGAGGATCCCTTAACCACAGAGAGATTGAGTTATTCACTCTAAGCCACATAGATACCAAGCGGGAGAGCAGGCTTTGAATCCTGGCAATCTGGCTCCTTCTCTGTGTTCTCCAACCCTAGTCCACACCGTCTCAGCTCTCAGAGCTATGCTGACACGACAGCTCATGTGAATTAGCCTTCCCAACCTGGCAGCCTCCCTTGGCTAGAAATTCATGAGGCAGTGCAGGAGGTGACTC